CCTCCCTCCCTCCCTCCCTCCCTCCCTCCAGGAAATTAAAAAGCAACCTGTGGGCTGAAGAGATGGTTCAGGGTTAAAGAGCATTGGCTACTCTTGCAGAGGGCCTGGTTTTGATTCCCAGCACCCACGTGGCAGTTAACCATCCATAACTGCAGTTCTAGGAGACCCAACACCCTTTCTTGTCCTTGGACCTTGCATGACGTGGGTGCAATTACACACATGCAGGCAATACACTCATATACATAAAATAAAAGTAATAAAACATTTTTTGAAAAAGCAGTCTATTCTGTGATTTGACAGTTCTCCCATGACCTTTGTCATGGTGAACCAAATACAAGATGTGAAACTTCCCTCTAGCCCCCCCACCAACTTGTAAAAGTCTGATGTTTCCTTTGTTCAAGGATGCTAGGGAGGGGGGTATGGGGGGTGCTTTGGGAGTTTTCTCTGAAAAGGCTCCTCCAGCCTCTCCTACTTTGCTTTTCTGTTGCTGGACAGTTACCTTCCGTATATAATCCTGGACCACCTGCCTGGTAATGTCTGCAGTGGACTGGGCTCTCCTATATCAATTAGTAATTTTTTAAAAAAAATGCCCCACAGACATGTCCACAGGGCAATCTGATGGAGGAAATTCCTCAGTTGAGGTTCCCTCTTCCTAGGTGCATCAAGTGACAACCACGATTAGCCATAGTGGCAGCTTTCCACTCCCCAATTTCTCTCTTTGAGACAAGGTCTCTCTGTAACCCCACTGGCCTGGAGCTCACTATGTGGACCAGGCTGGCCTCGATCTCACAGAGATCCACCTGCCTCTGCCTCCATAGTGCTAGGATTAAAGGTATGCATACCACATGAACTTTATTCTCACTCCTAATAAAGTTTCTCTCCAGGTTTTAAAGGCAAGCCTCTCTCCCGTTTAAGCCCCTCATCATGTCTGCCTCCCCTATATACTGTACCATATTTTGGTTAACTTTCTCCCTCCCATCTTGAGGCCCAATAAGGTCTCAAGGTCTTTCTCCTAAAAACTTTGTTTTCTGAAGGAAGCTCACTATGTGGACCAGGCTGGCCTCAATCTCACAGAGATCTGCCTGCCTCTGCCTTCTGAGTGCTGAGACTCACCACACCTTGTTCTCTACCTTGTTTTTTGAAGCACGCTCTCTCATTGACCTGGAACTCTCAAATTAGGCTAGGCTCCCTACACAGTGAGCCCTAAGGATCTTGTCTCCTCATTTCCCAGTCCTGAGATTGTAGGCATGTACTACTGTGCTCAGCTTTTTATATGGGTCCTGAGGCTTGAACTTGGGTCCTCATACTTGCAAGGCAAGTACTTTACCAACTGAGCTATCTCCCCAGTCTTCATAAATGTCTTTGAAAGTTTACTGGTTGATTATAGGAACAGAGACATTGCCTCAGTGTTTCAGAGTGTGAATGTAACTTCCCCAGGTCGCACACAGCAGAACTTAGGTCCCCACATTCTGATATGCCACAATGCTGAGGAAAAGTCAGGCTAGGAGGGCAGTTTCATATCCATTCCTGGGGTAACGCACTCACCTCCCAGCCTCTGCCCAAGCCCCATTCCCCAGTACCCTCATCCCTTGTGAGTTTTCAAATCCCTTTGTTCACCCTGCTGTTACTTGTGTTTCCGAACTAGAACAGACCCCCACGTATGCAGAGCTTGTCTGTCTTTCTCATCACAGAACCCATTACTGTGTACTGCAGCACTTGGTCTACTGTAAATGCTGTAGACGTTTGTTAAATGACTGTCTGAAGGAAGGGGTAGTGGTTCACTCACCGGCCAGAATGGATAGATAGGTTCTGACCCACATATTTCATCAGCTGTGAGGGCCCATGGGCCCAAATGCACTGGGTGGCCCAGGCCTCAGCAGACCTGGCCAGCTGCTCATCCCAAACCTGATGAAAGAAAGACGGTTATTTACCAGGGGAAATAACCACTAGGACCACAGCAGTAAGTAGAGGTACTGTTTACCAGGCTCTGCGCTCTCCCATCTCCCCGGAACTCCACTCACTCACTTAGAGATCAGAAAGCACAGACTCAGACAAGCCTCTGACTTCAAGGTCAAGCGCAAGTTCACAGCTGAGCCAGTGTCCACACCCAGGTCGCTGGCTCCAGTCCCATATCCTTTCTTCTTCATTAGACTTCACACTTAAAGCCCTCAGCTCTGTGTGGGGTCCCAGGGCCTCTGTTCAAGACTTATCAACACTCCCTATGCGTGACTTACCCCAAGCTGGATTGGAATCATTGATTTTTAAGTTCATTGTGTTTTCAAAATGATTTATTTTCACATTAAGAGTTAGATTCAAGGGCCGGGCATGGTGGTTTAGTCCCAGCACTTGGGAGGCAGAGGCAGGTGGATATCTGAGTTTAAGGCCAACCTGGTCTACATAGTGAGTTCCAGGCCAGCTGGAGCTACAGGGATTCCCTGTCTCAAAAAAGACCCATCCCCCCAAAGAAAAACTGAATTCAAGGGGCTGGAGAGATAGTTCAGCAGTTAAGAGCACTGGCTGCTCTTGCGGAGGACCCGGGTTTGATTTCCATCGCCTACATGACTGCTAACAACCATCTGTAACTCCATTTCCAGGGAGATTGGTGCCTTCTTCTAGCCTCTGTAGGCATTGCACATATGTGGTATACTTATATACATGCAGGCAAAACAGTCCTCATACACTTAAAATAAAAATAAGTAAAATTTAAAATTTGGCCTCAACACTTTCTTAAAATATGAAAACATGCAAAAATTAAGTAGATAAAGATTTCAAAAGAAGGCAAAGTGGACCATCTATTATCTCTTCCAGACTGTCCCCAAAGCCACCCTGTACCTCTCCCCCAACAGTCTTCCAGAAATACTCTCTATCATTTAACAAACAGCAGCAGGCATTCTGTTTCGCACCCAACTCTTTTTGCTTGACAATACAGGCCACTTCAGTGATTATTCCATATCAATGCCTATCAAATCCCTTTCTTATCTTTCTTCATAGTTGTTTAAGTTTCCAGTGTAGGAATTCTCTACATTTTATAGCTAGGGGCAAAAAGAATGTCACTGGAAAACTGACTGGAGAGATGGCTCAGCAGTTAAGAGCACTGGTTGCACTTGCAGAGGACCCAGGTTCGATTCCCAGCACCCACATGGTGGATAACAACCATCCTATCTCCAGTTCCAGGGGAATCCAGTGTCCTCTTCTGACCTCTGTAGGCATTGTATGACACAGGTGCACTTACATACATATAGGCACTACACTCATACACATAAAGATAATAAAAAAATTGTTTAAAAATTACTAGTTTTGCCGGGCGTGGTGGCACACGCCTTTAATTCCAGCACTCAGGAGGCAGAGGCAGGCAGATCCCTGTGAGTTCAAGGCCAGCCTGGTCTACATAGCGAGTTCCAGGACAGCTGGGGCTACAGGGAGACCCTGTCTCAAAAAGACCAAAAAAAAAAAAACCCACTACTAGTTTCCCAGTTCCAGGGATCCAATGTCCTCTGCTGTCTATGCAGGCATTGTATGCATGTGGTGCATTTATGCATGTGGTACGTTTACATATATATATATATGCAATATACATTAAAAGAAAATACTAGTTCCTGGGGCTGCAGCAATGGCTCATCAGTTAAAAGCACTGGCTCTTGTAGAGGACCTGGGTTCGTTTCCCAGAACCCAGATGGTGACTTAACAGTCGTTCATAACTCCAACTCCAGGGGATCTGATGCCCTCTTCTGACCTCCTCGGGCATTGCACGACATGGGTGCACTTACATACATGAAGGCAATATACTCATACACATAAAATAGAATAAAAATAATTAAAAAAAAAGTTCCCACATAAGGGCACACTCCTACCTGTAATCCCAGCACTGCAAAAGCTATAGTGGGGGTGAGGGGGTGAGTGTGGGTCATGAGTTTAAGGACAGCCTGTACTGTACGAGACTGAGGCAGAATAGAAAGACAGGGAGATTATGGGGATGTGGGAGCCCCTCACCCTACAGTCTGGTTGAAGCTTCTCAATAACCAAGAATCAAAGACAACACAGTTAGCATTTGCTGCCACTGACAAGACCTTGCCTCAAAACCCAACCCAACCCAACCCACCTAATTAAAAAACCTAGTTCCTCTGACTCCCTGGAATTCTCTGACATAGTATTTGTTCATTCAGCAAATATTGAACAATATTCCTTGGCACCGAAGACTCAGTCTAGCAAGGAAATGAACTGTCAGACAAGCATGACTCATGACAATTCCAGGGCATGTGGGGATGTGGAATGAAACCCAGACTCCTGGAACTTGGAAAAAAGGGCTTCAGGAGTGAGGAGTGCTTAGTCCCACCCTGTTCTGTGAGCAAAAGTCAGCTGGTAAAGAAGAAATGGAGGTGCCAACAGTTCAAAAATCCCCCCATAGTTGATTCCTGCTCTTTTATGGGAAGTACAGGAAAGGGGTAAACAGAGAGGGAATGCAGTTAACAAATCTGATGACCTTCCCCTGAGTCCCTGAAGAGACAGCCAGCTTTCTGGGTTCCATACCACATGCAATAATTAAATGCCTGCTGGGATTAGTGCCACCTACGCCATTGGTACTCAATAAATGTGTCATTTGTTTGGAAACTGGAGGGCCTTCTATGTGCCAATCCCTGTGTTAATAAATGAATGAATGAGCAAACACATGCCACACACACACACACACACACACACACCAGCTTCCCCCAGCCATCCAACTCCTGTCCTGGCCCCTCCACAATTACCTCCTGGTGTGACGTTACATATCTGTAGCTTGGTGGCCCACCTCAACATTAGCTCCCCTGAAGAAGGAGTCTTGTTCTCCATAGTACCCAGAAGGCTTAGCACTGCCCCTGGCTCCAAACCAGAGCTAGTACCTGAGCAAACCCGGAAGCATTTCCAGCTGCTGAGTAGGCAGGGGTGTACTGAAGAGGTCTCTGTGGGCTGGCAGCCTATCTCTCCAGGCTTTGGGGACAATGGTCCTCAGGGAGGAACTGTGATAAAGAGCAAGTTTCCCCTCTCCAGGCTGAGGGTTCTATCTTCTAGAAGACTGAGATCTGAGACACTAGAACCAACTCTTTGAAGACATCCCAACCTGCCTTTTTGTTGGCTTTCTCAGTCTGAGATTTCCAGGGGCCTGCAGGTTCCACAGCCAAAACCTGCCTTCAAAGAGGCTGGGAATGAATGTCCTAGGTGTGTCAAGCATTCGGCAGTGAGAAAGCTCCCCGCTGGTCTCCTACCCCCTGCTGGTCCCCAGTGTAGAGCCAAAATTCTTGGGCAGTGCATTGTGTTGGTGAAAACTCAAACCCCAGCAAGCAGGCAGACTTGGTTTGTAATCCAGGCCTGGGAACCTTGGGCAAACCTGTTCTCTGACTCTTAATTTCTTTATTTGCAGAGCAGAGACAAAATACTGCCTTGAGGGAAGGGTGTTATGCGACATCCCGGAAGGGCACAAAGGTGCTCTATAGATAGTGTTTCTGTACCCCCCCCCCCATACATTGAGGTTCTGTGCAATGATCTTGGTCTCTTCATCTTTTAAAATGGGCACACCCACCACTTGCTCAGATTCCACACAGTCACTGACAGCTGGTCCAGCTCTTTAAAGTCAGCCACTGCTGGTGACCTTGAGCTGTTCAGTGTTTGCAGGAAGGGGAGCTGGGTGGGCTCAGGACTCACCATGTACTCCATGTTGGCAGCAGGTGGGCGCACACTGGACCGGATGCGGTTGTGATAATCCAGTAAAGCACTTATGTCCCGGGCAGAGATGTGGCGCTTCCAGTGGTACCGGGGTACCCTTAGGCCAGTCAGTGGCTGCACAGCTATGTCTTTGGGGTAGGTCAGGACCTGGGTGGTGTTGGGCATCTTTAAGGCCTCCACTGTGTGGCCTGTCCAAAGAAGCAGGCCTGCCAGACCCGTGATGCTGGGCAGAAGGGGCATAGCTGTCTGGGGTCATGTATCTGCCTGGTGCAGTCAGAGCCTCTGCCTGGAAGGGGTGGGCCTGAGAATGCCAAACCCTGAAAGTTTTCCTTGGGCACTGCCAGTCCAGAAGATGCTCCCCAGGGACTTGGCAGAAACCTTCTTACTCCAGTGGCTCAGATGCCCAGCGGTCCTTCCTCCCTCCCCAGCAGACTTAGTAGGTTGGATGATGAAGAAATGACCAGACAGTGGCTAATCCAGACTGGGCCCTGAGGTGGGAAGGTGCCACCACTTCAAAGCCAAGGTCGTGTCCCATCTGCCCAGGAAACAGTGATCTCCTCTAGCCAAACACCTTCTTTACCGGTCCCACAAGACTGGGCTCAGTCAATACCCACAGAGGTAAGTCAAGCCTTTTCCCTGACTGCAACCTCAGGATAGAGGGGGATACATGGGAAGAACAGTTGGCAGAAGATGACAGAGGCAAGAAAAGGGCATCGGAGGACAGAGAAAAAGACAAGAGACCAGAAAGGGGCAGGAGAGATGGCTCAGCTCTTAAGAGCACACACTGCTCTTTGGGCTGGAGAGATGGCTAAGGGGTTAAGAGCACTGGTTGTTCTTGCAGAAGACCCGGGTTCGAATCCCAGCACCCACACAGCAGCTAACAACTGTCCGTAACTCCAATTCCAGGGGATCCAACAGCCTCTTCTGTCCTCCGCGGGCATTGCACGACACAGGTGCACTTACCTATATGCAGGCAATACACACATACACATAGAATAAAAATAATAAATCAAATATTTTTTAAAAAAAGAGCACACACTGCTCTTGCAGAGGACCAGGGCTTGGTTCCCAGCACCCACATCAGGTGGCCTCTGCAGTCACTTACAGGTATGTGGTGCACATACACTCAGGTTCACAAATATACATATGAAATAAAATTTAAACATCGGAGAGAGAGAGAGAGAGAGAGAGAGAGAGAGAGAGAGAGAGAGAGCCACCAGAAAAAAAGAGACACAGAGCAAAAGAAAAGAATGACAGGGATAAAAGAATGAACATGGGAAAGATGGAGGCAAAAGGGAGAAGGGGGAACAGAGAAGGAGGAAGAGGCAAAGAAGAGAAAAACAAAGGCAGGGGAGACCGGGCAGCAAGCAGGTCTCTGGGGGTGCGTATCCAGAACTGGCAGTCCCAGGAGGCTGCAGGAGGTGGCTGAGAAGGCAGGGCACCTCTGCAGCTACCTGGGCAGTGCAGCAACTTTAACAGTCCCCTGGGAGCTGGTGGTCTCTGACGTCCAGACCAGCCACCCTCCCTCCTCGTTCAGTCAGCACATTTGGACAGAGAGGCTCCGCCTGTCGCTTTTCTGGGCTTTTCTCTCCAATCCTGTCCTCCTGGTTCTTTTGCCATCTGGAGTATGGAGGGCTATGACTGAGCTTCCCGGAGGGCAGGGATATGGCAAAGGGGCAGGAATCCCTGGAAGACACACTCAGGCCTCCAGGGAGGTCCCAGACCCGGTGGAGGCCTCTGCCAGACCCCTGTAGATTAAGGCAGGGGAAAGGATTCCGACTTCTTAGAAAGTCCTATGGTCTCAGTGTGGGCAGATCTGGCACAACCTAGGTATGAGTGAGCACCTACTGTGTGCCAGGCCCTGAGCTAAGAGGTTTATGCATATAAGCTCAGCTAGATTCAGAGGCAGGTGCCACAGCCTCCAGGAATCATTCCATAGAGGAAGACACTGAACCCCAGGGAGGTGAAGGAAGGCCAGAGTCAATGGAGCCTGAATTCAAATCCAAGTCTGCTAGCAAGGCCATTGGTAGACGCAAAGGATGTTCAGTTCTATATCCAAACCAAACACAGCTGCATGGGTGAACCCTAGAGGAATGTCACTCATAGCACCATGTGTTGTTGTCATTCAGTGAGGGGTTCAAACCCCTTTATTTCCTTGCTCCAGGGCATCCTTGAACTGAATTTTTTTTTTTTTTTTTTTGGTCCCTATAGCCCCAGGTAGCCGGCCTAGAACTCACTATGTAGACCAGGCTGGCCTTGAACTCACAGAGATCCGCCTGTCTCTGCCTCCCGTGTTGGGATTAAAGGTATGTGCCACTATACCCGGTAGAGCTAAACCATTTTATTTTCCTTTGTACAAGTGAGAGAAATGACGGCACCTGCCTCATTCCTACCTCATCACCATGTTGTAAGAATAAATGAGTCAGCATTTTTGGAGTTACAACAGCAGCTGGCACACATGTGTGTTCTGTGGGCATGCACAGGCATGTACATACACACCCATGTACACTTGTTTGGCTATGGCTAAGCTTGCTTATTGTATGTGTGCCAATCTACTAACATGCACACAGGCAGGAGTACCTGTGAGTCATATCATATGTGTCCAGGTACACACACACATGAGGATCCACATGTCTGTACATGCATGCATGGGTGTGATTCAGTCTCCACTGGTCTCTGGGTTGCTGAGATTCTGGGTTTGGAAAATTTGCTTTTCTCTTCTTTGGTTACTTGTGTTCTGTATAAATAACAAACATTCCTTTAATACTAGGGGAGGCATACTTACAAGAAATGTATAAAGAAACAAGGGTGAGAAGTCTCCAGGCTGAGCCCCTGTCCAGCTGGTGGTATAGGGCTGGGGACTGGGACTGGGGCCACCTAAGCCTCCCCCAGACACTCATCCAGCCTGATCCTCCACAGCCCAGACAACAAAGGCACCAAAATACACGTTTCCAGTGCAGCAGCGCCCGCAGCCACGGCATCCAGTTTAGCCGGGCGGCTGCTGGAGGCTAACGGAGATAGAGGGAGGCTGAGGTCCTTGACCTCTGTAGGATTTTTCACACCACAGCAAAAGGCAAGAGAAGCAGACACAAACACCCTTAGTTCTCCAGGACAGAGTACCAAGTTATAGCCAACCCTCTCCTGTTGCCTGATCCAGACCCCTCCCTCATCACTATATCTTTGAGGCAGCGATACATCTGTTGTACAGAAGGAGACACTAGGGTCCCCTCTCTTCCCCAATGAACAAGGCTGGCCTCAGTTTCCCTGAGGCAGGTTTTCAATAGATAAAATATCCAGGGTGGGGCAGAAAATAATTAGGGGTGACCCAAATTAAGAGCCCTTGGGGAATCTCACATTAGGGTAAGCAAATATTTCTTGCCCCTGGCTTCTACCCCTGCTAGGTTCAGCTATTGCCTATTCCTGGCCCTTTCTGGAAGGGCTTGGGCAAGTGAAGGGGAAGTACTTTCAGAGAGTGGTATTCAAGGCAGTATAGCCGGATAGTATCACAGGGCAGGCTGTGAATCTACACTGGGTTTCTGGCCCACCCCTAAAGATTGCTAGCTATGTGGCCATCAGCAAGCTACTTAACTGTTCTGTGCTTCCGTTTTTTCATCTACAAAGTGGAAATGCAAGGCTGGAGAGATGGCTCAGTGGTTAAGAGCACATGTTGCCCTTGCAGAGGACTGAAGTTCTGTCCCCAGCACCCATGCCAGGTGGCTCCAGGGAGATCTGACTCCTCTGGCCTCTGCAGGTACCTGTACCCTTGTGCATATACACATACAGACACATAATTAAAAATAATAGGAGCTGGAGAGATGGCTCAGAGGTTAAGAACACTGGTTGTTCTTGCAGAAGACCTGGGTTCGAATCCCAGCACCCACATGGCAGCTAACAACTGTCCATAACTCCAGTCCCAGGGGATCCAAAACCCGCTTCTGACCTCCTCAGGCATTGCACAACATGGGTGCACTTACCTACATGCAGGCAATACACCCATACACATAAAATAAAAATAATAAATAAAATTTTTAAAAATATATAAAAATATGGAACTGGAGAAATGTGGTTAAGAGTGCTTGCTGGAAAATTTCCAGCCTCCAAATCAGGCAGGACTCTGTAGCTGCTTGGAAGGGAACACAGAGTGAAATAGAGGAGACCCCCTTAGAGCGACAAATGTACCATACACCACTCATCAAAGAAGCTTCTTTTTGCAACAGGTGGAGGCTACTGCAGAATCCCACATCTGGTCAGGCACAGAGAACATACACCTGGGAGATGCCCAGTACTAGGTGACACATCTGCAGTCGAATCTCTACAACTAAGGCTCATGGAACATAACAGAATAAGGGGTAGAGAGAAGGCTACCTCAACTCTCACCAGTGAGGCTTCCATGTATACCAGAATGCAATGCACACAGAAGGCCATAACTGGCCAAGTTTTGGAGAATAAGAGCCTGTAGAGTGTAGGATGGGACTCCTATATGGAACGTCACCCACCCACAGCTCAGGGACCATTGTGGAAGAGGAGGTGAAAGATTGTAAGAGCCAGGGCTGGTTTGTGAACATGGGGAGGTGGAGGCTTCTAGGCCACTGGAGGCTTGCTCACGTGTGCCTGTGGCAGCTGTGGTGTTGAACTCCAGACCCAAGTCAGCTCAATTAAACAAGGGCCCAAAGGGGAGGTCAGAAATAAGTGGTGGGTCAGCACTAGATCAAGAACTATTTGAGACTAGTTGCTGCTGGGTGAGGCAGAGTATGATTTACATACGACCACTGGATGGGCTGACTAGATTCCAGTGGATACATGTACACTGAAGGACATTTGAGCACAAACACTTGAATGAGTAGGACTCAGCATGTATGGCAGAGTGCATAGGGTTCGGTGAAGGTAGGGGGAGGCATGGATGGGGGAGGGAGTCTGGATGTGAGTGGGAAATATTGTATGAAATTTTAAAAGCTCAATTAAAAAAAAAAAGAGTGGTTTCTGCTCTTTCAGAGGACCAGTGTTTGGTTCCCAGTACCCACACTGGGTGACTCCTAAGTGCCTATAACTCCAGCTCTGGGGGATCTGGCACCCTCTTCTGGTCTCTGCAGGTGTGCATGCATGTACACACACACACACATGCACACAAACACACACACTCATGCACAAATAATAAAACAAATTGTTAAAAAGGAATAATAAAAATAAATCTTTAATAAATATAAAAAATAATAAAAATAAATCTTCATGGTATTGTGAAGACTGAATGAGTTAGTATCTCTTTTTAAAATTACACTTATTGAGCCTTGTGGTGGCGCGCACTCCTTTAATCCCAGCACTGAGGAGGCAGAGGCAGGCGGCTCTTTGTAAGTTCAAGGCCAGCCTAGTCTACATAGTG